TTTAATACAAAGGACCGAAAACCAATCACAAAGAGTAGGCTACTTTCTTCATTTAAAAACATGAGATACAGTGGGATACAGAAAAACCACAATAAAGTCTCGAGACATGTTTTTTTAAAAGTTGAACTTAAGTTAATTTTACATGGCTTTCTAAACATGCGGCTCTTTTGTGCGAGATGCGAGTGCAACGGTGATAGATGTCCCTCTAGAAAATGTGATAAATATGCGTTCTGTGTGAACGGCTTGGTTTCAGTTTTGATGTAAACAAGATCTTCTCCGCATTGATGTTCTCTTTTCCCGCAATATTTTTAATGAACAACGCAGCAGCGGCACATCTAGTGGCTTCAACTGGATAGGCTAACAAAAACATTCTAATGCAACGACACTTACATCGTCATCGCATCTCATGCGCCACTGATAAGTCTGCCTCCTTAACGCACACCTAAACTTCGAATGCAAAAATTTTGTAAAATAAAAATGTGGATTTTTATTTTCAATTCGACGAATATTCGAAATTCGAATTTTTTTTCAACAGCCCTACTTGGAAATAAAATTATATTGTTTTTTGGTCTCCAAGAAACAGTAGTGGTGTTTCATTCCTTCATTAATCAGTATTTTTGTGGTAAATACTTCAGTGACTCAATCACTTGTTTCATTGCTGCATGAATAAGTGTTTTTTAATGAATTAGCTGAGTGAATGATTCAATGACTCAAAAAGTCACTTGTTTCCATACTAAGTGAATCAGTGTGATTGAAAAAAATAGGTTAAAGAAATGATACAATTACTCACTCATAAAGACAGTCATAACTTGCTCCTGAATGAATCAGTGTTTTTGAATGAATTGTTTGATTCAAATATTCACTCAGAAAAAACGTGTTTCCATCCTGAATGAATCAGTTTGTTTGAATAAAATGGTTAATTGAACAATTCTATGAATCACTCATAAAGACAGTCACTTAAGTTACTCCTAAATCATTCATTTTTTCCAATTTTTTAGCTGCACACCACCTGAAACCAACTACTTCCTTGATCAATATACACAAAGACCATCATAGTTCATATATTACATCATTTGTTCCTTCATGCCATATGTGTATATATACAAACACATATACACATACAAGCCAATGACGTTGAATTTAATTGAATACGTGTTTTGGAAGGAATTGCTTGAGTGAATAATTCAATGACTCACTCATAAAAACATTTATTGTTTCCATCCTGTATGAATGAATTAAAGGGATAGTTCACCCAAAAATGAAAATTTGATGTTTATCTGCTTACCCCCAGGGCATCCAAGATGTAGGTGACTTTGTTTCTTCAGTAGATGCCCAAAATTTGATGGATAAACATAAAATTTTCATTTTTGGGTGAACTATCCCTTTAATGTTTGTATGAATCGAATGAGTATTTGAATGAATAGGTTGAATACATCATTCAATGACTCACTGATAAAGGTCACTTGTTGCCACCTACTGGTGTAACAATATAAATGGCAGAAATATGAATTGCGCAGAGAGTCTGTCTGAACTGCTGATGAAAACAGTACTCATGTGGAAATATCTGACCTCTAGTAGGGTCTGAAGGAGCAGCTTGCCGTCCTCCTGTAGCACCTCCCTCACAGCAGGAATCTGCTCACAATGAGAGATCAGCTCCGTCTGTGCAGGAGCATCAAGAGAGCATATCATGGAGTATACAGTACTCACCAAGGTACAGGGTGACTAATATTACAAGCATTAATGGTACAGAAAGAGTTTATTCCAGTACAAGCTCTGGTACTTGGCCTCTATGTTCAACTACAGCTGTCTGTGAAGATGAACCACTTCTGGGAACATGTTCAGTGTTGTACTTACAAATAGCAGACAAGTTGCTTTCAGTGTTGGAGCTTCAGGAAATTTGAATGACAAGATTCCTACATAGACATAGACAGTTAATAAATGGATGAATAAATGAACGTTGTGGCTGTTAATACACTTACTGATGCTCACCACAGTAGAAAACAGCTTTGATATCAAGACGGTCTGAAAGATAAAGGTCAGACTTTCTTCTCAAAGCCTGCAGACATCAGAGAAAATATTACCCAAAAAAATAAAAGAAAAATGGGAAACCTCTTTACATGGTAAAAACAATGAGAAGAGGTTGTTTTTTAACTATGTAAATGTAAATCTAAAATATGTAATCTATGTAAATATATGCAAATGATGTAAATTATTTCACAGACCTGAGCATGAAGCTGCATAAATGACTCCACCACATCTGGATGATCTCTGGAGCCTAAAACAACATTTCCATTTTGTAACAATGACTGTAAAGTCAAGCATTAATATCATAGCTTGCGAAATTGTGCATGTTGAAGGTATTTTTATTTGTTTCATTAGCCAACAAAAGAGTTCGATTACTGAGATAAAATGAATAGTATTAGTAATATAATGCTGGTCACATGATCTCAACATTGCAGCCACCATGCTTTTCTAGGCCACTCATGTACACATTTTAATAATATTTGTCAAAAGTACTATTCACTTCTTTATTTTGAATATTCTGTCATCAGTTACTCATCTTCACTTCGTTCTAAACCTGTATGACTTTCCTACTTCTGTGGAATATCTTTCAACTGTTTCTGTCCATACAATGTCCAAAACAGCACAGGACCCCATTGATTTTCTTTGTACAGACAAAAAACACTTTTTCAAAATATGTTCCAGGAAACAAATCATACCGGTTTGGAACGATATGAGGGTGAGTAAATGAAAGTGATTTTTCATCTGAAGATAACTATCCCCTTAATACACCTTTGCTAAGCATTTGAATTGACTAATCACTTTAAATTCAGACCCTTGCAGAGCTCATTGTTGATATGTTGATAGCGACTCATTCTACTCTCTTACCGAGCTGAAAAATGGACATGGTGATATTGGTAATCAGCTCCAGCAGAGCAATGATTGGAGAAAAGAGATCCTTCTCACAGCCAAAAATGTGAACTAACTTGAGAGAAACATGAAAGAATAAACAAACGATATTTATGATATTTATTAGTCTTATCATCAAGCCAATTATACGTTATGTCATTACTTGTCGTGTGAGGTCTAAAGCCGAGGCTTGTGGGTAAGCGCTGAACATCTGACCAATGAGCTCACAGAGCTGAGTCACCAGTGGTGCAAAGTCATGGAGAAGGGTCTTCAGTGATTTCTCAAAGACAGCACACACCGCCTGAGATGGGGCGAGAGAAAAGCCAATCATTCACATACTCCCACAAACACACACACGTTCACGAACACTGACCTCGACCACCTCTGGTTCATTCAGCCACTTGCTGAGAATGGTCTGGATCAGAGGGAAGGCCTGCTGCAGGACAACCACCACCTGAGAAACGCCCAGAACAGCTGTTGGGTGTTCATTTTACGACAAGCTTGCTAATCAACAATAGCTGATTGGACTTTTGAGTCTTGATGGGTTGTCGTACCGGGTTGTTGTGGTGTGGCTGTGTTTGGACAGGTCTCATGACCTCCGATCTTTCGCTTTGCTTGTTTAGGTCAAATGTAGAGAAGAGATCGGACAGCAGGCCGAGGATGTGGACAATAGGAAGCTTATTCGCAGAGCTGGGCTGCATAGAAGGGTAAAAGAGAGTATTTTTCAAACTATCTTCTTTCTTGTTCCACCAAATTCAGGTACGACAAAGGGTTTAAAGTTAACTATAAAACCTCTCTGGAACTATATTTATTGTGTACTATACAAATACATTTTCTTCACAGGTTTAAAAGTACTCTAGTAGTACTTGAATTCAGCATGCTCCTCACCGGCTCATTGGCCAGTTTCTCCAGCTGCTGGATGTGAGGGGTGACCAGAGAGAGCAGCTTCCCCAGAATCTCATCACTGGGCAGGGCTGAGAGCAGGAAACCCAGCGCCTGCATTATCCACATACACTGAGGGCTCTGTACAGGAGACTTACTGTCAGTCCTAATATGACTACTAAGCATGATCAGCAGTTCATGTCCGGTCCATTCACATGAATACAGATGAAAAATATACAGTACAAACAAAATTTTAAAATTGACTAATGTTCTCTAACCCTTATAAGGTTTTCAATTTTTGCCTGATTTCACTGTTTTTCTCAATCTGAGTAAAAACGGTGACTTAAAAAAAAAAATTTAAACGTATCATATGACCCCTTTAAGCCTTGAAATGTTAATGCTGTTTGCCAGAGAATCAATGAACACGGAATGATCAAACCCTTCATTTTAAGTATTAACCTTTGCTGTATAATTTAACACATTGTAAAAAAATGTTTACATTTACTTTATTTAGTTTAAACCCTTAAATGCTAAGATATGTTACAAAATATACACTGGGAAACATAAATCAGTTTGCAATTTTAAGTAAATGCAAAATGTTTTTAATTTTTTTATTTATTTTTTGACAATATAAAAATGTTTAGATATTTTTAGATAAAATATATTTAAAAATTCAAATATGTATCAGGAACTATAATTAACTAAAACCTACTGAATATATTTTAAATATATTTTAATGTCTACAAGAGCAATATATTTTGGTACATTTTTGTATATTTTCAATTATACTTCAAAAAAAGGAAAGGCACTTAAAATAGAAGTAAACGGGGCCAATTTTATCAGAATTTGAAAATGTGAAGCATATAATTTTATACAATCACTTAAATTAATTATTCTGTTTATAAGTATATTTAAAATTATGTAATTATATAATAAGTGTATTATTTGAGCTACAAAACTGTTTAAAAATATTTTTGTACAGTTGTTTTAGAGGTTTTTATTAACCTTTTCTGTGTAAAGTTTTATTTAGACAATTTATACTGTTCACATCTTGTCTCTCACTGCTTTTTTTGTTTATATATATATATAAATATATATTTATTTTTTTCCCCTTGTTGATTATTGACCCTATGTATAAAGGGTTAGTATTAAACAATTTAGCATTTTTAACTATGCAGTTGTATTTCTTCCTTCTCAAAAGTTTTGTTTAACCTGTAGGTCTTGAACTGCTCTTTATCATCTGCAGACCACACGGCATAGTCCTCATCTCTGGGGAAACAGGCCTTCTGCAGCAGAACATCCACCAGCTGGAAGTACACAGGCCTGTAGATTTGTAGATAGAGCGTCTGCCTCTCAGCATCCAATGACGTTATATCGTCCTGAAACAAGCAGCCAAAAGGACAGCACCAGCACTCAAAACACCATATCTGCTCCAGTTAAGTCAACGCAACACCAGTTGGCATCAAACATGAGGGATTTTTCGAGGTGGACTTGTACCTGTAGGGTGTACCAGAATGTGAGCGTGAGCGAGCTGGAGGTCTCATCCACAGGATAGTGTCCAGGTGTACCTGTGCAGGACATAATCATGCTCACTAGAGCCTGAAAGCCCTGCCAGTGATCCACCTGCTCCAGAAGAGTCCTGGGGAGTTGAGAGGGACAGAACGAGGGAAAAGAGCTTTCACCAAACAGACAAGGGCAGTCAGATGATGAATTGGTCTTCTTATAGACCCAGGCCATCTGAGGTCATATAAGACTGTTATTAATGGGAGATTGATGATGCATATAGATCATTATGTCCAACCTGCAGTGCGTTTCTCCCAGAGCTACAGCAATGCGACAGATTCCGTGAGACGTCTCCATGTCTCCATCCTGCACCGCCTTCTTTAGCTGCTCCTGAAGACCCAGCACCTGAGGAACAACCTTCAGCAGACTGTCTGCAAACCTCCACACGCACAAACACATAGACTATAAAAATTAATATTTCATACACAACCTTCAGTGAAGTTCACTAGAATGATAATTAGTTTCTATGACAATTACTTGCGATTCGTTTTCTTGTGTAAGGGAAAATGTAATCAGTTATCAAACATTTTTTTTTCCAAATTATCAGCCAATATTGGATATTTGATAGTTTTGTTTGTGCATCAAATGTATACAGGTGTAGATTAATAATTTTTGCAATTTTTTCAGTTATTTTTCCTTAATATGAAAATAATTATCACCTTATCAGTTTTGGAATTTGAATAACACTATGGATTTATGGCGGCAAAATATGCATTGTCAAATACTACGCTGTTCTACGCACATTTTTCAAGAATATGTTAAAATGTTTAATATATTCAGTTTAATATATGTTCAATATATTCAGTTATCTATCCATTTTAATGCAAAAATTCCCCTATATAAAAACAAACACTATAAACAATGGTAACTTGCAATTGTTTTTTTAAAGAGCTACTTCTTCCTGATTTAACACATAAACTCATGTATTTGGGTTAATTTAGCAATATTAAATAAGATTTATTAATAGAATCAATTAATTAAAATTTGTAACTTTTTTTGTACAGTCCATAAACACTATCTGTCTGTCTGACAGATAATACGCTCTATAAGCCTAAATTTAAGATTTATGTATTTGAATTGCCTTTAAAATTTCCATCCATTTGGATTACACAGTTTTAACACATAATAAACCTGACAAAATGCGATGCATATTTGTCAGTAATACATAAATGAAAAAAGGTAAGATTTATGCACTCAAAAATCATAGCATAGTTTATTTTTAATTATTTCTGTCTTTTTGATTTTATATAAATAACCATTTCAAAATGCATTTTGCTTAAATCTGCAAACTCGCATAAATCAGTTGTGAATCCATTGTGAAAACAACAACATTTATTCAGTTAAAAAGTATGAACTCGGTTAAAATATGACAATATTCAGTTAAAAATATATTCAGTAAAAATGAGTGAAAATGTATAAGTTGGAAACCTATATTTAAACCTGGTTACTTTGTATTTAAAACACATCCAGTTAGTTAGAAATCTTGCCTTTTTCTTACATGTTTAATTTATGTATTACTGACAAATATGCCTCTGATTAAGTTTATTAGTTTATGTTAAGACTGTGTAATCCAAATGGATGGACGTTTCATATGCAATTCAAATACGTTGGCAAGAAAAAGGAAACAGACAGAACTATGAATACATGGACAGGAGCTAATGCGTGTTTTAACAGTACAAACAGCTGTGTCGTCTCTCACCTCTGACAGTCAGGCTGTGAGATGATGCTGACGATGGTCTCTACGGCTGTGTCAAACAACTCAGACTCCTTCAGCAGGGCCAAGCAGCTCTCCAGCAACCCCTCGCTGTCTTTTAAAGCGATGTCCAGCGTGAGCCAGGAGGACACGCACCTCAGCACCTGCTCTCTGACCGGACAGGGTGCGTCCGGCTGCTGTAGTAACTGCTGGAGCAGGGAGCAGACCGAGCTCCAGTCCACAGCCAGAGCGCTTCTCAGCTGTGAGCGCCGAGAGGCCGGGATCCTGCTGCTTTGCAGCTCCTCGGGCAGAACGGCGAGGAGCTCTAGAAGCGCGAGGCATCGGGCTTGACCGTCAGCTTCCGTCACACTCTCTCCAGTCTGGAAGGCACACAGAAGATCTGGTACTGCCGTCGGCCACGTTTCGGCTAAGACGTGAAGAACCAGAGAGGCCAGAGCGACACAGAGCCTCGTCAGCACCAGCTTAGGCCCCGATGCAAACTGGCCGACCTGGGTGATGAGCTGCGAGCGGAGCGAGTCTAACTGACCCGGCGGGAGGTCGGACCAATGGCGGGAGATTTTAGCATGTAATGTGCTTGCCCCAAAGAACTGGATCTCAGGAACCTAATGTGAAACCAAATAAGTAAGATCAATGAATGTAATGCAGTGAAAGGTATACATTTTAGAGTGTGGAGTAGTCGAACCCACTGCTTACTTTGTCTGGCCTGAGCAAAGCCCAGCAGAAGTGCCAGGCTTGTGGTGATGCCTGGGCTTGTGTGAGCCACTTCTGGGCCACATTCTTCTTGTCCATATCAGGGTCATAGTAGAGCTGCTGAAGAGCCTACAGAACATTAGGAAAGACCAAACACTGATTCTATTATAATTACACTACTTGTCAAAAGGTTGAAATCATTAAGTCTCTTATGCTCACCAATGCTGCATTTATTCGAAAAAATACAGAAAAAAATAAAACACAAAATACAGTAATATTCAGATTTTTATAGATAGATTCTATATTAATATGTTAATTCATTTTAAAATATCATTTATTTCTGTGATGACAAAGCTGAATTTTTAGCAGCCATTACTCCAGTCTTCAAACTGTTTTTACTGCTTAATATTTTTTGTGGAAACATGATACACTACAATTCATATATATAGTTTGGGTAAGTTAATTTATTTATTTATTTTTTTTTTTTTTTTAGAAATTAATACTTTTATTCAGCATGAACACATTACATTTATCAAAAAGTCACTGTAAAGACATTTATGATGTTACAAAAGATCTCTCACCAAGGCTGCATTTATTTGTACATTTTCAGCAGCCATTACGTTCTTCAGTATCACAATTTTTGTTATATAATATTTTTGTCGAAAGCATTATACATTTTTCTAAGGATTCTTTTATGAATAAAAAGTTCAAAAACAGCATTTATTTGAAATAGAAATCTTTTGTAACTTTATAAATGTCTTTACTGTCACTTTTGGTCAATTTAATGCATATAAAGGAGTATTAATGCAATAAAAGTATTCATTTCTTTCTTTTTTTTTTATTACCCCCAACAGCAAAAACTGTTTTCAACCAATAATAATAATAATAATAACAATAATAATAAATGTTTCTTGAGCAGCAAATCAGCATATTAGAATGATTTCTGAAGGATTATGTGACAGTGAAGACTGAAGTAATGATGCTGAAAATTCAACTTTTTGAATTTTTAAAATATATTCAAATAGAAAACCCTGGTGAGCATAAGAGACTCAGTACAAAAATATTAAACAATCGTAATGATTCTAAACTTTTGACTTGTATAGTACATATTGATATTACCATATTCTTTCCCCCAAAAATGTATTGATAATGCATAGATAAGATGTCACTGAAATCACAGCACACAATGGGGAAGCATAACATAAAGCAGCCACCAAATCCCCCACATGCTGACAGTTATTATTAGACTAGCACAGCTTACTGAAGATATCAAGTTACTTTCCACTTACAGAAGCTTCTTTATTGTTCTGAAGTGCACAAGGCCAAACACCTTCAAACTTGTGTGGGTTTACTCGGCTGTTAGTGGAATTATGGGAATATGAAGGAATAGAGGCCTCAGGGACAGCATTGTCCAAATGAAAGGCAGCCCTGAATGGAGCTGATGAAATTTACTTCTATTGAATTATAGCTCTCGCCTCAGGTTTACATCTCCAAACCTTGGCAGTTTTGATTTAACCGCTCTTACAGAAAAGAAAAATGGCTTGTTAAAATGTATGGCTATCACACATTTCATTCAACTCAAGTGTTAGCAATAATTCTCACCCTTCAGTGTCTTTTCAGAAAGGCAGAGGCACTAGTTGTAGGCACAAAGTTACTGTTATTTACACACTTCATGAAACGCCAAGCAGTGACAGAAATGTTCTGCGTGACATGATATTAAAAAAACTTTTTTAACACAAGTTTCAGTTATAGTATAAAATTGATAGTTTAGTCCTGGCTTCTGATTGGTCAGTACAGTGTTGCAGTCATCTTATTTTCCATACATAGTGATAGAGTGGAAAAGTAAAACTTAAAAAAAATGTTTTTATGTTACTTTATTGACCTTTAAAGATAGAGTATCATGAGTTACACTTCTGATATACTTCTGTTAAAGCCATTAGCATGCATTATTTCAACTTATTTTTTAAATTATCATATTCAACAGCCGAATTCTTGGTGAAAAACTACATTACCCATAATTCACCAATCAAAGAATGCCACCAATCAGAGAATCAAAATTATTAAAAGAGCTCTTTCCCTATGCTATATATATATATGCATATTTCTCAATAAATGTAAAATAAATTGTTTCTCTCTCTATTTCTTATCAACATCTTTAAATAAACAGTTTTATATTTATCCATGATTGTTATTTCAATTATATTGTTCACGATGATTCTAGGTTTGTAGTTCTTTGTACCTTTGTTTCTTTCATATTTATTTATTGTTAGATTTTCAGATAATGTTTTGATTCTGTAATGTTGTGATTTTCACCTCTTGGTTGAGTGGTTTGGTTCATGACTTTTAACTCTTAAACAAAGGTATTTTTAAATCCCTATTGGATTTTCGTTTTATTCTGGTGTGTCAGTTGCCACTCAAGCCTTAAAACATAACATAAAAATACTTCTGAAAATTAACTTACTGCTATTTCAACACGACCCAGATAATACAATTTCATCTGCTTTTTTATGTTAAAATTTTACTCACACCTTATTTATATATGTGTCAAAATAATAATAGCAATTTTTAAAAAATTATCTGGCCCAATTAAAACCCAGTAAGCTAAAAAAAAAAAAAGAAGAAAGAAAAAAAAGAAATTATTTATTTATTTAAAAAAAGGTAATTGGACTGGTCTCCATCCTAGTAGTGTTTTTTTGGGGGCAAAAGCACATTGTGGAACAAATAAATAAATAAATATAAACTGATAGGAGACTGTATCTCCATAAAACAATATTAACATTGCATTTTTTTCATGTTTTAGCTTATATCTGGGGCCTTTGTGTGTTATTACGATGTAGGACATTTTTAATAAGCACTTATAAAATTAGAAAAGAAATGTTCAAGTTTCAACCTGATGCTTTGACGTTAAGTATGTTTATTGAGCTACTACTAAGGTCACTCAGACCCCAAATATTGCAGGAACTGCAATAGTGAAAAACTAAATGATGACCAGTTGCAGCTACTAAAATATAGGCTACAGTTTCCCTAATATAATATTTAGGTGAAACGCTATAACGTTGTGTTATTAGTCGCCGTTTGTCAAGTCCTCTCAAACACAAATGGTCGAGGGTTATTGTGTTTCTGTGAGTCACAGCAGCTCACAATCTACTCACCCTCTCCACTGCCTCCACCGTGAACTCGTCTGCATTCACTGCCTCCATTCTCAATCCTCATTGACTTCCTTATCTCCTATTCTTGTGCTCAGCAACAGTGAGTATTCGGTGGTAAGGTGTGAGGGGGTGTTTTGGAGTCCTGTCAGGTCATGACTCGCGTGTGTGTGTGTGTGTTTGTGCGCTCGCGGGGGGCAGATCTGATGGGAGCACGTGGCTCGCACTCATAACAGCTGACGCCACACGTCATTCACTTAACACTCAAATCTCTCTGTAGCTTCACATTCGATTCAAAGGGTCTGAAACCCTTTGGCTCTCTTTATAAATAAGCTGTCGTTAGACTATAGGTTGCGCTTAACCACACCCCGCTGTCGAAGCCCAGACCCCTCGGGATATTTTTAGCTCTGGTGATGTCCGCTGTCATCTAACGGAAAGATCATCCCGGAATCACAGAGCGAACCAGCACGGTGTCTGCGCTTGACTCACTTTATCTAACATGAGGATTCAAAGCGCTTTTATTATATGGACTGCGATGGTTCTTCATTTGTCTATCATAAAAGGTAAGCACATGGCTTATGGTTGACTTGATTTTAGCATGAAAACAGCAACAGGATTCTATAATGTTACAGTATCTGCAGGCTTTGTCTTGCTCGCATGTTTTTTTTTCTGATTAATCACTAATGATTTATATGCATCTTATTTATTTGAAATGACATTGTTAAGCCTGGAACAAATTATGGGACAAAATCTATCCATCCATCCATCCATCCATCCATCCATCCATCCATCCATCCATCTATCTATCTATCTATCTATCTATCTATCTATCTATCTATCTATCTATCTGTCTGTCTGTCTGTCTGTCTGTCTGTCTGTCATCTATCTGTCTGTCTATCATCTATCTGTCTGTCTGTCTATCTATCTATCTATCTGTCTGTCTGTCTGTCTGTCTATCATCTATCTGTCTGTCTGTCTATCATCTATCTATCTGTCTGTCTGTCTGTCTGTCTATCTATCATCTATCTGTCTGTCTGTCTGTCTGTCTATCTATCTATCTTCTCTTCTTTTGAATGTAACAATAGGCTACTGCAAAGATTAAAATATTACTAATATTAACATATTTGGGAATAGAAACATATTTTACATATTTTATTTTTGTAACATAATGTTTGGACTCTAATTTGTATTATTTGCATCTCCCCCTTAAGTGCTAATTCGATTCTTAAAGTGAGATCTGGGTTCTCAGTGTTAATTTCATGAATAATTGGATGCGTTGGTTGATCTGACACATTGATCTGGTGCTGATGTGGGAGACATAGGTTCGAATCTGCCCTGTATACCATGTATGCATAAATAAAAAATGGCAAAAGCTCCAAATTGAATCATTTACTTATTTAAAAAAAAATTTACATTTAGTTATTTATGCATCTAAATTTAACTGGTTTAAGTGGTTTATGGTGTAACTTTCTATTTTGTAAATCTTCAAAAACCTGCACATTTGAGGACAAAATCTCCATTTATCTGGTTTGTTTGTTCCTCTGCTCCTTCTTGACACATAAAGGTCACACCTGCTTTGTTCTGTGGATTCACTGTGTGACCATTAAACTCAACTGTACAGATCCGGTCTAGAACGCCCACGTTACCGTTTCAGCATGAGAACACACAGCGTTCTTCCTGTAGCTTTACTCAAATCAAATAAACATATTTCATGGCATATAAATTTCTTCCCCTCCATGCTCATGTTTATTTTCTAGATTTACAAGTACAGTTGCAAATAGGAACGAGCAAGCTTGCTCATGCAGACATTTTCTACTTCTCCCCAAGGTCAGACCACAGACACATCCCCAGACGTGAGGTCCACTCTGAATGAAGTCACTCCGAAAAATCGCATGACTTCAGCAAGTGACATTTTGGAATCACGAGCCACTACAGCCTATCAAAGCGTCTCCTCTCCTTCAGCGGATTTCACAACGGAGGTCACACCTACTGTTCCTCCTCCATCACAGTCATCCAAAGACGCTGTAGTGCACAATGACACCTCTCCTTCACCAGCCATCTCACAACAGACCCCTGCGCTACAAGAAGTCTCCACCCTCAACATGGACACAGCCTCGGTACCAGGCAAGACTAATACAATTAAACCTAATCAAATTGCAAAAGCTATCTGTCGTTAATCAGTCTAACTAAGGTTTAAAAACAACCTTAGAGAACAACAACATGGACAGTGGAAGACAATGCTGCGCAAATTAAGTTTACGAAGAGCTGAAAGATGCAGTAAATTTTATATTTTCACAAATTGCTAGTAAATTTCATGAATAATTACAAAAAAGGCACACATTAACTGAGAAATGCATTGAATTAAACATTAAAGTGCACCTATTATGCCATTTTTACGGTTCCTAATATTGTTTTGGGAGTCTCCGTTTGTGGGCGGGGTCAAGTTGTTCGCGGCCGGCCAATGCAGAACATAGGTGCGCATTATGCAAATGTGTTACCCCGTGACGTGTAGCCATCACGGAAGTGGGATTCGAATGAATGACGACTCATTAGGTGATTCATAAAGGGGCACTTTAAAGTAGAAAGATTTCAATGCAATTTTCTTGTCAAATGTACTTTTTTAGCCTTTTGCCCTTTAATATGTCAATGATTTCATTTAAAAGTTAGAAAAAAAAAATGTACAGTGTGCTCTAGTCAGAGCTGTGGCTTTCTGGTTGGTGTTCGATTCTGACCTGTTTCTAAATGCTTCTATAAAACTGTTTAACTTTTTTATTTTAGATTTTTTTATTTCAGCTTGTTTTGCATTTGCCTTCAATAAATTGTTATATATTGGCTTTATCACATTTGCCACACTGCTCTATAGATGTTCCCATTGACGTCACAAGCTGAGATGACAGTAAAGTTGCTCGCATATTGTTGTAAAAGACACGATGCTTCTGGTTTCGTGCACTGACATTTGGGTTTGTCTTCTAGTCTGAGTGCTTTCATGTGGGTGTAGGTGTACATCACTTTGTTCCACTTTAATGATAAAACACTGGGCTTAATGTGACTGATTCCAGACTGAACTCGTGAGACTCTCTGAGAAACTGCCACATTCCACCCACTTGATCAAACGTCTGTCCGTAAATAATGGCTGGATGTGGGCGTAACATTTTGGAACACGACTGTGTTTGTAAATAATATCCCTCTCTCATACTGTCATTTCACTGGAAACACAGCTATATTTAGGGCAGTTGAATATCTACTTATTGGTTTACTGCACTTATGCCAGACCTTAAGTATGACTCTTAGAAAACAACTTCAAAACACAAGTTCTTCAAAACAGCTTTTGCCCGGCATACAGTAAAACGGGTAAAAAAATATACCATTGAAGGAGAGATCTATCTCAGTCAAACTTTCTGTGCATGTTTTTCTCCTGCAGATTCTTCTACTAGCAGCATGTCAATTTCTTATTTGAAGAGCACCGTTTTATATTCAGTAGCCTCCACAGCTCCTGCAACATCCATCAGTCCAAGTGAAGGACCTCAGGCACTGAGGTCTACTCCAGCCAGCAGCGTGATCCAGACAACACAAACAGCTCCACCATTCACCCCCACTTACCCTCAGACATCTCAGGTCGTCCTGACCAGCAGTTCAAAGGTCACTGGACCTGCTCCTTTGGAAGACCAGGATGAACCTTCTGAACTGGATGTGGGGGATCAAGGTGTGTGGTGTCATTCCAAACCCATTAAACATTAAACAGATATTTGTATCTTATTTTTTATTTAATGGAATCCAGGCAACCAAAAATGTCAAGTTCATAAAGATACTGTAGAAATAATCCAAATGAATCATCAAGAGGTGTAATCCAAGTCTTCTTAAGAGACACAATAGGGCTGGGTGATAAACAAAATCATATCGAGATGAAATTTAAGTTGATGATGATAAGCTCTGGACACTTTTCTGGACATGATAATTTCATTATTTTTCCAACTGCACTTATTTCTGTGGTCTGTACATGATGTTCCTTCAGTTTTATTAGTTCCTGTGATAGTGATAATCAGTTTCTGCTCCATTCCTCAATCTAGAGTCAGGGAAGGTTCCCCACCGCCCTGCATCACCCCTGGACCCCCTGCTCGCTGCTCTGGTCACCATTTTCATTATTTGCACTGCCATGGTCTCAGTCGTCCTCTTCCTCAGGTTCCGTCAACGGAGTGAGCATCCAGAATTCCACCGGCTTCAAGACCTCCCTATGGTGAGTCTTGCATTCGGGCAGCAAATTGGGATATTTAAAATTGAGATCTTTGAGAGTTTTATAGATTTCCATTAGAGGTTGAACAATTGATTGGTTTGGCTGATTAATCGGCACCAGTAACTGATTGCTGGAACAATAGCGATAGTTTTTTCAGGTTGCATCCATTGCTGGAGCAACTGAGAAGGTCCACTGTCATTATACAGAACAAGAGCGGCCTCTAGAGGCAGAATAAATGACGCCTTGTCGGGTTTGTTTGTTTTATATGTAGATTTAAAGTAGTGCTGTCAAAATTAGCGTTAACGAAAGCGATGAATTTTTCCAGTTTAATGGCATTAAAAATATTTAACGCAGTTAATGCAGGGGCGGAGCTAGGGTTGGCCACCCCACTCACAACTGCTGCTTGTCTCTTTTTTTCTTGACAAGAATTGCATTTATTTAGGCACAGAATGTCTTTACGACCAAATCAAACTGGAGACTTTTCAGACACGCACTCCACTTCGCCTCAGCTCCAGGCACTACCCTTACCAAAAAGTAGTATACTTCAAGTTTATTTTAGTAAGTATACTTAAGTAAAGTTCAAGTATATTTTTAAGTATACTTTATGTAGTAAGTATACAAATATCAGTGTACTAGTAGTATACTTGTAAGTGTACTATTTCAATACTCCTTGGGACTAAATTGGCCCACTTTCTAATATATAAAAGTATACTTTTAAGTATAACAGTAGTAAACTTTAAGTACACAACTAGTTTACAACATTTATTCCATAATGTTACATAGTTTTGATACTGTTTTATGTCTGATGATCGTGTTAGAATACATGTGGAAGCATCTGTTGTTTCGGTTTCTTCTTCACTTGTGTTTTTTGGAAATTCTGTACAGAAGATGTGTACTAGCGCCCCCTACAGTATAACAATGAAAACACGGATTCTAGGAGCACAATTATAGCTAAAACATATTTAGACTTTTTCTAAGTATAAGTCAAGTATACTTAAATGTCATTTTAAGTATATTTCTGAGAAGTACATAAAGCCCATTTCTGAGAAGTACATAAAAAGTAGACTAAAATTGTGCTTTCCTATTTTTAGTTTAAAAGAAGTATACTAATAGCACACTTGAATAAACTTCTTTTTCGTAAGGGTAGTCAAACAAGCGTGGAAACGGTACAGGTGACGAGGAGTAGAACAACAGTGAACTGCGGTCAGATGAAATGTTATCAGGCCATAATTCAGTAAAAAACAATTTTCCTGTCCTGTCAGTCATTATACTGTGCTCGTAGCATGTGCTCTTCATTTGCACGCACAAATACGGCGGTGCACGCTGTAGCCTGTATCATTTCATATTAAAGCGTGAATGAAACCATGAGCATGCGCATGTCAGATCCGTGTCATGTTCCGCAGTGGCAGCTCTTAAAGTAATAGCAGCCAAATAAATAATCTTAAAACCCAGCCGCTGTGATGTCTGTTAATCAAAGAAGAACTAAAGAACAAAAAGGAATATCTTTTCCAAAATAACTTTTGTAGCTTTAAGGATTCGTCTATATTTAATTTAGAATTTAGCGTTGATAACTTTATTCAGTTTCTTTATATTTCCTATTTGCTGAAGGGCACAGGTAAACATTTATTGTAATGGGTTTATGTGAAGATTGTTTTAAGTTCACTTAAATTAGAAGTTATTTTTTAAAGTCTAATAAATGTTGAAATTGATAAATCTCAATTATACTGTAATGTTGAATGGCTACAGTCAATGATTAAATATTAGGGAAAAAATAACAATTTCCTAGAGACATCAGTAGTACTGGTATCAGTGATACTCGCCTTCAGTCATAAAAAAAACATGCCACTAAAACAAATATTTAAAATATACTGTCTTTATGTTGTTTCTACATTAATTTGAAGATTGTGAAATTATTGCAATATAGAAGTATATTTAAAAACTTTAATGTTAGATGGGGTTAATCGTGATTCATTTCATAAAAAAAAATTTTTTTTAATCGATTGACATCACTAATTTAAAGCTAGTAAATTATGTTCATGCAGTCAACAGAAACAAATCAGAAATGCATCCAATTTAATTTTTTATCGTCACTGTAAAACATATTTTGTTATTTTTATTAGATAATAGTATTCTGTTCTAAAAGTATTCTATTTGATATTAGATTCTATTTTCATTAGATAATAGTATTAGATAATAATATTCTATTGTAAAAGTGTTCTAAAATAGACGCAAATAAAGTGGGAGAGTATACATTTAATATACATATGTATCTAATTTCAATGTAATGGACTTTGTGTAGATATTTATTTTTATATGAAATGGTAACAATAGAGTCAATTTGCAATAAGAGTCAATTTGTAACATTAACTAAGGATAATAAATGCTGAAGAAGTATTGTTCATTTTTAGATTGCTAATTTCATTTACTAACAATAATCATTTACTAATAAATTTAAATATTTTTCAATACTGTTTTTTAAAATAATTTTTATAATTATTTTTTGTAATAAACTATTAGTAGATTAATCAGTTATCGGCCAATGTGGTCCAGCCTAGTTATCTTTATTGGTAAAATCCACTATTGCTCAATCACTAATTTACACGATAATGGTAATTATGTCATGTTTTGCAAATGTGATGGCATGTTCTGCAAATCAACACTGATAATGATCAAATTCAAAATGACCTCAAAAATAAAACCCTGATGTGCTTTTCTGCAGGATGATCTCCTTGAAGACACGCCATTGTCAAGATACACCTATTAGCAAGAGTGAATTCCACTATTTCATTATCTGATTCCTCAGGCAACCAGTGTTGTTATCGGTGCAAATCCCCTGAAAGATGTCTTTCACAACTGATCTCTGATTCTGGGTTTTTCTGGGCTTTGATGCTAAAATGTGGTTGTGTAATATTGGAATAGACAATTTAGTTATTTTACTATATTATGAAACCCATTAAAATAAAATAAGGGTTCCAGAAAATATAATACAATAAGATAATCAGTCTTATTCTATGTTAACAACTTCACAGTTTCTTAATAAACAGGTGTTTAGTCAGAAGAGAATGTTCGAATTTCAAGAAAACGGAACCAATATACTTTTTATTCACTTTAAGATTCTCTACAAATGTAGAGAAACTATAACAAACATTTTCTCTACAAACATGACATTAGAAACAATTCACATTTTAGTAACTTAGAGAGTTTGCTGGAGATAATTAGATTGTTTTCCCCTTTATTAGACACTATATTTATACTTAAAGGGTTAGTTCACCCAAAAATGAAAATTAGCCCATAAATTACTCACCCTCAAGTCATCCTAGGTGTATATGACTTTCTTCTTTCAGACGAATCCAGTCGGAGTTATATTAAAAATTGTATTTGATCTTTCAAGCTGTTTAATGGCACTCAGCGGGTGCTGCATGCATCAGTCCAAAAGAAGTTAAATAAAATGCGCCCATCCATAAAAAAACCTAATTCGTCATCCGTCCGGAACTGCTTCCAGTGTACAACAGTGAGCGCAAGCTACATTAAAGTGATTATTACGTTTTGAATATGGATATTTATCTTACAAAAACGCATCGATTCGCTACAGAAGGCCTTTGTTCACCCCCCGGAGCCGTGTGAGACACTTTTTTTTTATGGATGGGCGCATTTTAATTAAGTGCTTTTGGACTGAAGCAATGCAACACCTGCTGAGTGCCATGTAACAGCTTGAAAGATCAAAGACAATTTTTAATATACCTCCGACTGGACTCGTCTGAAAGAAGAAAGTCATATACACCTAGGATGACTTGAGGGTGAGTAATTTATGGGCTAATTTAAATTTTTGGGTGAACTAATCCTTTAAGTAATTGCTCGATATTATGATGCTATCATTTGGTTCATCCTAAACCTAAACTCTGAGGTATGGTCACATTTACCGTTGTTTGGCAAATTTTCACAGGCAAAATCCAGTCCTTTCAAAAGGAGGTAAAGGTCGAAAGATATTGCTCAGATATTGCTCTTTCACAGTTCAAGTTGTTCACACAAATGCACAGCTTTGACCAAAATCACTACGCTATTGACAGTTCAGACAACAGACCTTTTTTGTCCACAAAATTTTGCTAATATGACCGCACCTTAACTTTTATATAAGGTTTTATTCTAAAGGTCTAAAATTTCTTGAATCTATACAAGCAAATAGTACTGCACTTTTTTTTTCTTTTTCTTTTTAGGGGCTTCGGCTTATTTTCCAAGAGAGTTTTTGGAAAAACAGTTCCCTGGGTTTAGCATAAATGTCTCTGGACTTTTGCACTGTTAGAGCTATGAAGTTGTAGTAAGGAAAATGTTCGTTTTTATGTGACTGTTCTAGAATGAGAACAAATTTGGATTAAACTGAATTGTGATTTTGATATTTATGACATTTAAGTTGATTGTCCAGATCGATAATGATGGTGTGTGAAATAATCTGAAATGTATTTTAGCATATTCACTTCTGTCTACACTGGTATTTGTGGTAAACCTAGTGCCTAATGTACTTTGTGCCAAAACTGATTAGCGGTAAACAAACTGATAAATATATATTGCACAGTTGTGTTGTTGAGATGAACCTGTAAAAATAAGAGTTTGTAATAAAATAAGAAAACTATTTTTTGTGTGTGTAAAGCTTCATGCTATATCACATTTACACGAGTTTAACGGTGAAACTGGTGAAATGAGATAGTCAATACAAATATGAATTATATACAAATTTTTATTCGTTTCTTATGAACACTTTAAAAATAAACAGGCCAATATAAACTTTATTGATTAAAACTAGCAACAATGCAGATTTCATATGTGCTGTATGTAAAAATTTTATAAATATTAAGTGTGGAACAGTAAAACCTAATTATGTTAACAGAACAATTTAATATTATAGTAAAAACAGAAATACTGTAATAAACATGGTATCATTAGAATAATATAGAAAACATTGCATAAAATATTCTTAAGTTAATTCTTAAAAAGACAAAACTTTTTTTCATAGAGTACAAAATATCACAATAATAAAATAACAATGACAAACGCGTTAAACCATCAGTAACGTTACCACAACTAAAAATGTTTCAGTTGTTTCAAAATTCATAAACCAGAACACTGATATAATAAGCCATGTGAATAAATATCCTCATACCAGTTTTGTCCAGAAACAATTGCAAGTCCTCATCAGTCCTCATCGATCTACAGCTGTGAAATGATTATGTCACCATACGGCTCGTCCTGTCGCACTGTGACCTGTCCTGCGACTATTTCCTCTGTAAACACAAGACGAGACAAGACAAGACAAGACAGCATATCTGTCCGGGTGATTGCACTTTTCAATAAATTAAGCATTTGGGAGAATTTAAATGCCTTTGTTTTGTTAATTGTGGTGCTTAATCTCACACCATTTTTGGCAGCTAGCAGGTGAGGAGGCTCATGGGTAGACAGATAGCAGCTGAAGTGGGACGGGGTGGCATTTATCACCTACAGTATACCTGACCAGTATAATTCTTTCTCCCTTTAAGTCTTTGTATGTTTCAGTTGAAAATAAATTTGATTTCAGTAGGTCATCCCTCTGAGAACAGTCCCAGTGCTCCCAATTCTTTTCAGCAAAATCTCAATTTCATAATTTCTTTTCATTGATTTTGTCAGGCATTATAGAATGGTAAATCCTCTGCCATAATCTTACCTAGCAATCTCAAAAACATTTGGGCAACAATTCTGCGGCTGGCCTGAGGGGGCAGCAGAGAGTGAAAGGTCACCAAACCTTCAATAGCATCCTGTGGCCTTCAACAGAAGAAAAAAAATGCATTAGATATTATATCTGTCTATAGTCACACGCCACTGAAATGGACAAAGCAAAAAATGTAAAATACTAAAAAAAATATTATTAGGGTCCTATGATTTCCGCGATGCTGGGAAAAAGATCTGATGTAAGATATTTTGAGAAAAAACTACTGTCATATCATATACACACAGAAACTTAAAGGACTTCACAGGAACCCATCAAAATAAAAGTTTAGTTTAACTTGAAGAAATTGTGACATAAATATATTACTATCTTACAGACATATTGAACGCTTGCCATAATGTAATAATACTACTACCACTAATAAAATTATTATTATTACATTATTAGGAATAATTACACAATTGTCTCTTCCATATTTTAATTTAAAAAGTAAACCTCTGCTGTGCAGCACTTTGTCTGTCAAAAATTGAAAGGGTTAGTTCAATTATTGTTTGATTAAAAAATAAATTCATGTTTTATGTCTTCATTTGATTACCATAAAAATTCAAATGCACAACACAATGCACAGAAATTCTGAAAAAAAATGCGCTATTATTGTAAATAAATAAATAAATCTTTATTTGATCCTCTAACTCTAGCACTCTCTATTCTAATTCTATTCTTTAAAAAAACTTGCCCCTTTTAGCACTCTATTAATTTTCTTAAAAAATAAAAAAAACTAACACTAGCTTCTCTATTCTTTTTGTATTCCATCTATTTGTTTTCTTTTTATTTATTACACAATTAACAAAAAGCAAAAAAGAGGCCTCTAACACTAGCTTGCTCTATTCTTTTTCTATATCTGTCTGTTTTCTTGTTATTTATTATATACTTAAAAAAACTTTCATTGCTCTTTTGTTGATTTTGATTGCTTCCATTGTCCTCATTTGTAAGTCGCTTTGGATAAAAGAGACTGCTAAATGACTAAATGTAGGCTAAATGTAAATCGTTAAGTTGTTTTTAAATAATCAATTCAAATGGAATCCAGAAAGATTCAAATGGAAAACACAGAATTTGGTAAAAATAGAACAGAATTTTAGAAAATATAAATGTGACCCTGGACCACAAAACCAGTCATAAGTAGCACGGGTGTATTTGTAGCAATAGCCAACAATACATCGTATGGGTCAAAATTAGGATATTAAGTAAAGATCGTGTTCCATGAAGATATTTTGTAAATTTCCTACTGTAAATATATTAAAACTATATATTAAGTACTGCATTTGGACAACTTTTAAGCCGATTTTCTCAATATTTAGATTTTTTTGCACCCTCACATTCCAGATTTTCAAATAGTCGTATCTCGGCCAGCTTATTGATTCAGCTGGATATGGAGTTGGATAATGAAAATGTCTTATGTAGAGCTGCTCTATACCTGAATCACAATTGTTTCATGACAGATGAACTCTACAACATTGATACTGTTATTGAACTGAACTGAATCAACACTGAACTGACTTGAGTTGACTAACAACACAATTGCCTTCTGTAGAGCAGCTTCATAGTTAAACTGAGTTCGCTTCATAACTAATGAACTATGCAACAGTGACACTCTTACTGAACTGAATTAAATCAAACTGAGCTGAATAATGACACTATTGTCTTTTTAAAGCTGATTTACAGCTGAAATTGTATTTGTTTTATAACTGAAGAACTTTCCAACATAAATACAGTTATTTTCCTGTTTATTACAGTGAAGCTGCTTTGAAAACATCTGTATTGTATAAAGCACAATACATATAAATGTGACTGGACCTGACTATAGTAATATAAATATGAATAGCCTTTCAATAAATAACAAAAAATGCAAATACTCATATTAACACAGTAGTGTAAAAAAAACTTTTATATTGACACCTACATCAAAAATAAGCGGTTTTCAGCAGTACCTTAATTCTTCCTCGATATCCTTTGTAATATCTTCCATCTCTGGGACCCTCTCTTCTGGGATGTCCTCAAGACCGAACTGAATTTCTGGAACAGGGGATCTGAACCCATGACAGCACACACATACTAAGTCATTATTCAGAGGCACTTAATTATGCAGCAACTGAATGTGAAACTCGCAAGTGTCAAAAACCAGTCGCTTCTGACAGCGACAGCTATTTCTGTCTCTCTTTTAGCATCTCTCCTCTCACCGTCTCATTTCAGGAGTCTCCAGTGGAGAGAAATCCTTGTCTGTCGTCTCCAAAACCACCAGAGAGGCTGCCAATTCATTGAAACATGAACATTCAGTATGTAAATGTAGCAGCTAAACTATTATTCTCTTGCTTTCCCTTCCTTCAAAACACACCACAACAACTATCAAAAAAAGTTATTCTACAAATACAGTATGTGCTAATGTTTTTACCCGGCGTTTCTTGCTGGAAGAGGCCAGACTCCAACATTTCTCTGGGAATCTTCAGTAGTAAGGATGTAAGACAAAAAGATCAGTCACTAAAACACTCAAAAATTATTTAGGCCTAAATGTAAGGTTTTTGTATTTGAATTGCATATAAAATTTCCATCCATTTGGTTTACACAGTTTTAACATAAACTAATAAACTTAATGTGATGCACATTTGTCAGAGGTAAGATTTCTGTTCTTAAAAATCATGCTATTGTTTATTAGATCTTTCCATCTATTTGATTTAATTTATTAAGTAATCATATTTTCAGAATGTATTCATATAAATTGTTTTAAATCAAGATAAATCTCTTCATGTTGAAAAGTTATTCAGTTAAGTAAGTATGAACATGGTTAAAATATGGCAATAGTCAGTTGGATTTATTGCTGACAAATATATATACCCGGTTATTGTGTATTTAAAACATATTCTGTTTATTGGTACTAATACAGAAATCTTACCTATTTCATTTATGTATAACTAAAAAATATGTTTAATTATGTTAAAAACTGTGTCTAAATGGATGGAAATTTTATATGCAATTCAAATACAGTACATAAATCCTAAATTTATGCCTATTTTTTGAGTGTATTTACAATTTTGTGTCCCGCTTTATAGTAGATGTCTTTACAATGTACTTAATAATAAAAATCAATCAAAACAAAATACCTACTACAAATAATGGATTTGTTTGCCTGCATGTCATGTGACCATCAAACCAACATCAGAGAACTGAGAACATTCAAATATGTAGTTAAATTATACAAAAATTATCGTAAAATCTCAGGGGGACTCAGGGGAAGTTTGTTAATCTTGATGTAATGTATTAATCATGTCTGTATGGGACGAGTTATAACTCAGAATGTAATAGTGTTAGTGGGACACATGGTACAGTATGAATGCTAACCTCTTTTGAGCTAAGCTCTCTCTCCTCCTCTCTCTGTCCTGGTTCTGGTCTCTCCTGCTCTCTCTCTGGTATTTCCTCAGCTACAGGAACCTCCCTGCGCTGCCGGGACGGTGGGATGGGCCTCAGGACCGCGGCCTGTTTCCATAGTGCCAGGATTTCAGGTGGAAGGCCTGTGTAAGCATAACACTTCACTGTCAATAACATGACCTTTAGCTTAAAGGAACACTCCACTATTTTTGAAAATAGACTCATTTTCCAACTCCCCTAGAGTTTTACCGTTTTCGAATCCATTCAGCCGGCGCAATGATATTACACAGCGCCTGAAAATAGGCTAACTTCCGTCAACATAACCAACGTGACCACCTGCTTGCACAGGGAGCGTGCTGGGGACAATGAGCCTATTTTCAAAAATAGTGGAGTGTTCCTTTAAGCTCTGGACTATATAAAGGGGTAAAGCTAAAGATGCTTCAGTAAATATCATGGAAACTGTCATGAAATATCCATATAGGTCATATTTGTCCCCAAAAGCAATACAAAAAAAAAACATTTTCATGAAAATTAAACATTTATTTTTATGTCTAATTCTATTATATATTTTTGCATTTTTTATTCTTTTTATTGCTGCTTTTTTAAACTCCTTTCATATGCATGTGTATAAATCTTTATGTACATATGTACATCTATTTCGTAAAGCAATGTATTTTAGTGCTTTAAAGCACAATATAAATGTATGTTTCACTTATTTTAATTTTATGCCTTTATTTTAAAATATTGTGTCTGGAGAGGATGATTAAATGAGATTTTTTCACAGTACACCAATGAGTATTTAAGAGGAAAATGGGCTTAATGTTCATGGAAATATAATTAAACTACATGTTTGGGATCTGTAATTTTTTTAAGTCTCTTCTGCTCAGCAAGGCTGCATTTATTTGCTCAAAATACAGTAAAACGGTAATATGGTCAAATATTATGATATAAAATAACTTTTCTGTATTTGAATATATTTTAAAATGTAATGTATTCCTGTGATACTTTTTTATGGATTCTCTGATGAATAGAAAGTTCAAAAGAGCAGCATTTATTTAAAACAGAAAATATCTTTACTTTTTAAAAAATTCTTTACAGTGGTCGTATTAAACTGTATATTTGGCTCTTTGCAAATTGCAGGTTTATTTTTCATTACGACCAACTTACTCATGCAAGGGTTCTCGAGTAGTTCTTTAGCACCCTTCTTCTCAAACGGTGGTTTGACAAGAGATGCCTAGAAGAAAAAACACCATTTACACCATTTTACTATTATACACAAAATAACGCTGACTTGAAGAATGCAGATCATTCTAGATTTACCAATGGCCTGGTCTCTGTCTCGACGTCATCAATCCGGGCCCTCATTTCCTCTTGAGGGATCTGCGTGTTTTCATCAATGAAGAGCAGCTGTCTCCTCCTCTTCCTCCGCTCTGTAGGGGATTCAGGCCTCACGACAGCAGGCTGACAGAGGGACACACGGGGCTTGATGGCAAATGCTTTGATGCAGGATGAAGACAGACCTCAAAACGTAACACACCTCAAGATCAGGGCTCCACTCTCTCACTGCCCTCTCTTCTCTGGGTTCAACACCCATTTTCTCCTCTTCGCCTGGCGGAGGGGACGGCATGGGCATAGACACAGATACCGGGGTCTTTTCTTGTTCTTCTAACACAGGCATTTCCATGGGCAGCCCCAGATCCTCCTCAGGCAGCAGGACAGCCTCCTGGCTTGATGCGCCAGTGATCTGTGCCCTGGAAAATCATCATCTTAAAGCATTGGTTTGATGTTTTTCAACCCATATAACATTAAGTTATATTACTTTTTAGCCCCTGGAATTGAAAGCAGTTTTTTGCCTATACATTTGATGCATAATATTAATTCCAAAAATGATTTTGTATTGTAGCACAGAGGATGCATAAGTGTATTTCGGGAGCCACAATGGCAAACAACGTAGTCAAGATTCATGGATTTATTAGTTTCTCACTGAGATGGTTTTCTCGCAGATTTAGTCGCAGGAAATAGCACAAGCAGGCTTGTGAAGGAACAAAGACTTTCATTTGAGCAGAATATTCACTAAACTCCAGCATACATGTTTGCCAGTGTTTCAAATCATCAAAGTCTAGGAGGATAAGAGAATAGCCCTGATTGGGGGATTTAAACACTTGACATCTGGCAACCCCAAGCCTGAACGCTTTTGGAGGCTTTACAGTAAAACATTTTCATCTACTGTATTTTAGTTCAGTTGCTGCCTTACTTGATTGTATAAGTCATTTCAACTTAAATTACATTAAACCAATATATAACTTATAAAAACAAGTTGAAATTGCTCAGCTTATTTTGATAAGTTAAAATAATGTAAAAAAAATTTTTTTGCCATGACTTACTGATCATATCATTTTAAATGTCAAATTAAGAAAGGATACATATTACCAGCTAGTCAATATCGCAAATGATAATGCTTAAATAATTGAGAAAAGCAGAAATCATTATCACGATTAAAATATGATTAATCATCCCTGTTAAAAAAAACAAACAGCATATGCTGGTTAGGTATGTTTTGAAGCATAACTGCTGGTTTAAGTTGGTATTTAGCTGGTCATGAGCTGGTTTAAGATAGTCCTCAGCAGGAGCTAGTAATTTAGGACTAGCTTAGGACCAGCTTAAGCCAGCTCAAACCTGCCGCCATGCTTCAAAACATACCTAACCAGCATATGCTGTTTTTTTTTTTCAACAGGGATGCAGCCCTAACAATAGACTATCCAAGGTGAAAACTCGAGAAAGAGATTCCGGATTAAAGATTTTGATTTCACTGGGACTTTAAAGCCTTAAACCTTAAAAGTTTTCCATTTTTAGTATCCTTTGTTTACTGAAAGCTTACTGAAAAAGACATAAGCGTAAGTCTAAGTTTGAGTGTGATTCTCTAAACGTACAGATCTAAAGAGACTGATGTTGTCAGATCTCTGGCTGTCTCTCGCTCAAGCGCTGCTCTCTCTTGCTCTCTTTCATCAGGCATCCTGGGCTCTCTGTCCTCTTCTGTCTCTTTCTCTATTTGCTCTCTTTCCCTGTCTATCTCCAGCTGCCTCTCGTCGTCACCTGCAAAAAAACAAGCACTTCTCAAATTTAAGCCTAAAACTCATTTTGATTTTGAAATTGATGAAACCACATGAACCGAGGACCGACTCATTATGAGTGTTTGGGCAAATCCCAGAAAACCTGACGGGATAGTTCACCTAAAAATGAAAACATTCTGTCATCATTTGCTCACACTCAGGTTGTTCCAAACCAGTATGAGTTCCTTTCATCTACTGAGCACAAAAGAAGATATTTTGAAGAATGTCTGTAACCAAACAGTTAATTTGAGCCATTGACTTACATGAAAAAAATGCTATGGAAGTCAATGGCTGCCATCAATGTTTGGGTGAACGATTTTTTAAATAAAGTATTAAATAACACAATAGTAACTTCACATTAAAAAGTATTACTATTATATAGATAGATAGATAGATAGATAGATAGACAGACAGACAGACAGACAGACAGATAGATAGACAGACAGACAGACAGATAGATGATAGACAGACAGACAGACAGACGAAAAAGGATGAAAAGGATGAATATATAAATTCTTTTCATAAAATTAACTGATTTCATAGTGAAATATGAACATGACATGGCATGTTCTGAAATATGACCAGGACATGTTTCGTGTGATTTGAACAGTTAGTCTGTGCATGTGTAATCTGGATCTGGATAATTACTGCACATAATTATGGGTGTGAATGAAAACAGCATGTTGCCATCACTCACGCTCGAGAAAGTGATCTGGCTGCTCCAGCAGTAGCTCGATCATGTCAGACTCCAGCAGATCTGCTCCTTCAAACTGAGGAATGAGAGAAACAGCATTCAGGATACACACAGCTGGATTTTATACAGCGATTATGTACATATGGTGATAATACTGAGTGACAGCTGTACCTCTGGCTCAGGCATGATGACTGGCTCTCTTTCTGTCAGGGTGATGGACTCCTGGCTGGCCGTGATGCCTAGAGGGGAAATAAGGAGCTTTAGAAATACACAAAATACATTTCTTTGACTGTGCAAATTCCCATAGCATCATTTGAAAGACTATTGATATTTGTAAACGTGTGCTGCTATGGCAATGGATCACATTACAGTACTCACCATCTGAAGGTGGTGTTGGTTCTCTAGTGGGTGGGACTTGCTCAGGTAAGACCTCTTCCATTCGCTGAGCCACAGTGAGAGAGGTTAGACTACACATGACTGATAAAACCCATCCTTAACTCAGAAGATTCAGTGATTAATTAATAACACCTAGAAATTACACTACCTGCTTGAAAGTTTGGGGTCGGTAAGATTTTTTTATGTCTCTAATACTCACAAAGGCTGCATTTTTTTATTTGATCAAAAAATACAGTAAATAGTAAAACTCTTTGAATATATTTTAAAATGTAATTTATTCCTGTGATGCAAAGCTGAATTTTCAGCAACGTTACTCCAGTCTTCAGTGTCAAATGAACCTTCAGAAATCATTCTAATATACTGATGTCTGCTCGAGAAACATTTATTATTATTATTATTATTATTATCAATGCTGAAAACAGTTGTGATGCTTAATATTTTGGTGGAAAGCATGATACAGTTTTGTTTCTTGATAAATAGAAAGTTTTGAAATTCGTCTTTGAGTTGCATCCACCTGAATGAGGCTGCTTGGACTTGGCAGGCCATAACCAGTCTCCATAACGCCAAAGAATGGATCCCTCGCTCCCTCTGTTTCATCAAATAGTGCAGCAGCATCTGGGATCATGTGACTCTGCCTGAGAAGAAGAAGAAGGAGGAAGTTGAGGAACTGTAAATGTGAAACATCTTATATGTTTCAAGCTCTGCATCTTTTTTTATTTTATTTTATTTTATTTTACCTTTGTCCTGTTGCTCTAACCCAATATTCTGGATTTAAAATTTTTGTTTGCTTTTAACCTTAACTTGAAAAAAAGCTCTGTAATTGTTACTTGGAAGACATTTTTTTTTTTTTCATTTTACTCGTAGCCATTCACATTTTAAGAGGCCAACAAACTTGTGATATACTATACTTAATGTCAGCATTATACGACAATAGAACCTTTTTTTTTTTGTCTTAATACAGGTTCCTTGTCATATTTTGCATTTCATTTAAAAAAAAAAAAGTCGTAACCTTTTTTGAAAAACAGAAAAACTGGCCATACCGTTCATCTGTAAATGTGTCAAAATGGGTTACAAATGCTGTTTTGGCAATGTTGCTTGTGCAAATCTAAAAATAGCATGAAATGTATATTTGAATTATTTTTGTAATTGTCATTTGTATCTGTAACATTCTGTGCAGGGACTGCAGATGGCATATTCTGTCATATTTACAGTAATGTTTAATTATGTGCACTGTCCCTGCTAAATAGAAGTAACTAACAGTGCAAAATAACTAATAAAAGAAAAAAACTTTAAATCATTTATCAGACATTGCTGTCATGAAGAGAAGAAAACATAAACAGGGTTCCATTCATCTGCATTATAATATAATTTATGCTCATAATAAAAAATATCTAAGAAATAAAACGCTTGACCTGGTTTCTTCATCCCTCATATCAATGTTGGACTTCGCGTTGAGGCGGAGCAATCTATCTATTGCCCCCTGAGTGTCCTCTGAGAAAACATCATTAACAAACTATTACAGAAACACAATCAATGGACACATCAAAATCTCTAAATTCTACAAATTTCATGATCCTTATCAGCTCCAAGACTACACTTTGTCATCTTAAAAGAGCAAAGATGCAGTCGAAACAGCAAAAACCTTCTTTTGTTACATGCCGTCTTCCAGCTAAATCAATCTTTAGCAAATCAAGCCTAAAGAATATATTAGGGGCATTTCATTAATTTCCTTATAAAAGTATACATGTGAATATTTTTGAACAACCAACAAATGATCATCTACCCTCAAGTTTTAGCACACCAACCTAACAAAAAGTCACACTGTCTGTGGTAGACAAGCACCACTCCATACTGCAGCTGAGAGGACAGGTACAGGGAGAAACGTGGGCGGGGCAATCCCAATACAGGGGGCGGGACTCTGATCAACACGTAATCCATGATGTCACAGCTGTGAAGCACATTGAGAACAGAAATTAATAACAAAAAATGTATTTCTTTTTTGAAGAGATATGATGAGATCTTTCATGTACTGTGATTAATACTTGTTTTGGTGGTGTTTTTTTTTTTTATCCTCTTTTCTTTATTTGTTCTGTTCCTGCCTTTCTTTATGTTCATAAAAAAGCTATTTAAATGCATCTTTCTCTTTTAACAGTCATTGTCAACTTTTTTTTCCCTTCTCTTCTCTTCCTTATGTTCAGATGACATTGAATTGTTTGCAATTAAAAAAAAAAAAAAAAATCCATTGTGTTGTTTCCTCACAAATACTGCATTCCCAATTAGACAGAACAAGTTCATTTTAAGATCATTGTGGCAAAATATATAGATGTTGATTTGATTTAATTTTAGATTTGATGTAATTGTATTCCTGTACAGACTCTATCTGTTCTATATTTATTGTTTGATGCATAATAATAATGGTTTTTTTAACTCCATTAAAAAAAACTCCAATAATAAAAACCCCTAACTGCCAGACATGAACCCAATATGGATGATCCCATCAACTGTCTTTAAATTTGATTATGTAGAAAATAGTTCACCAGTCATGTATGATTTTTCATTACACAGAAAAGATACAAACCAAGTGCGCTGGACATTGACTTTGAGCAGATCTCTCCGACTGATCTTTCGTCCTTTAGTGGCCGCCAACCTGAAAATTTTTTATATTTAGTTAGATATTAATAGTTATGCCTCAGTTTTAACATTATAGCCTACTGTTTAAAATGGTCAAGTCCTAATTATGGATTTTTCATACTGTGAATATAAGCACACCTTAACAGTGCTAAAACTCAATAGAAAGAAACGAGAACTTACCAAATCGTGGCAAAGCACCCGGTCCTATGATTGAGTACCGTAGGGCAGAAAAACATCGTGAACAGTTTGATAAAGACAAGATGAATTTAGAGCAAAAGTGGGCCAAAAACTGGAATCGCGTGATCGTGAAACAAATGAAATCTCTCAGGTGAAATCCAAAGAGTTTTTTACAGGAAATGGGACTACATAGTACTTCAAAGGTTGCTGTGGGGAAATTTGTTTTGAAAGCTCTACCAATCAGTTGTGCTTTGCAAATAAGACAAACCAATCTAATTGAGCCAACAGTCTAGAACGCATTTTATTGGACTGTCTTGTTGCCATAATAATTCCTGTTTTGTAATACACTTTTCAACATAATGAATATTGAGAAGTAATTCAGGATTTACATAGCATTCTAGTCATAAACAGAATCATTAATGCCGAGTATCATTCATATTATCGATAAAAAAAAAAAGCAAAACCGAGAAAATATCACTGATTTATGTATAATGATAATAATTCTCTATTATAGATCAGAGGAAAATATACATATGATGTATAATATAATATCTAATCGCCAACAGGTGGCGTATAGGTTGAACGTTCTGAATACGATATGAAAACAAGTTCGGTTCCTCGTTGTTTTTCTACTAGGTTATGAATATTAATTAATTAATAAATTACGTTTGCGCAGTACCCTCAACTGATTTGCTGATTGGCTGACGCTGGCAAGTGGGCGTTGTACTGCGGCTGACGGATAACCCAATCATACTACGCCGAAGGCTTATCTCATGAATATTAACTAGACTAAAGAACTCAAGCAGAAGGTCACTTGCCAGGGTCTTATTAATATTCATGAGTGACGCTTTCGCCATAGTAGGTTTCGGAAAAAAACGCGAAGGGAATCGTTTGACTCGTGCACTTCCGGACTGAACCAACCGGAAACCGCCTGCTCACAACTTTTGTCTTCGCTGTTGCACATCGATTAGAAATATCAGACATCATGTCGGGCTCATCAAACATTGTTGCGATGAAGAAAATCGTTCAGCAGTTGCGCTTCGAAGCAAACATCAACAGAGTAAAGGTTTGTTTTGTTAGTGGTTTAATTTCTTAATTTGTATTTCTGAGGAAACTGAAGCTAGAGAGTTAGCCGCCGGGTTGAGCTTGGGCGTGGACCTGTAGCCCGTTAGCTTTGTTTCAGAGCCTTCTTCTCAGTTGTGTTATTAAAATAATTTTATATTGTAGTGAAGTAGTACTAATATCAATTAAACAAACTGAGCATTATACAGACTCTGGAAAAGAAATGTGATCTATGCCTAACTAGCTAGAATGGGTAACGTTAGTTTAAGTAGAACCCTCCCTTATTGATATATAAGAAACGTAGGCAATAAATACAAAATACTCTAATATTACACCCATTTTCCAATGTATTCGTGTGACTGTTAGTATGATTATGTATTTAGCATTTCAACTGATTGTGTATGCAACCCACTTAATATTTCCATTTCCAAGACAATTGTGAGATGTTGTGATTTTTTTTTGTGGATATGTAGGTTTCTCAGGCGGCTGCAGATCTTCAACAGTTCTGCATTCAGAACGCCCTACAAGATCCTCTGCTGACCGGTGTGTCTTCAAGCACCAACCCCTTCAGGACACAGAAGGTTTGCTCCTTCTTGTGAGGGTCCATGATGGGCATCTGCCATTGGTAAGAATGAGTTTATAATTTGGTTAAAAACTAAACAATATAAAACTGAAACTAACAATTAATATTTGTCTTCCCAGGCTTTTTCCTGTTCCTGTGACATTTCTGCTGGGGGAAAAAAAAAGAAGAAGAAAACCACTGCCATGATGTGTAATTGAAGAAGCAGCAGCACGAAGCTGTCCTCTTGCCAGTTAATACCTCATGCCATAAACACAAAAACAAGAACTGAAAGGATTTGCCGCTCTGGCTGCTTTATGTCTGTTATGGTGCATTTTAATTTTAGAAGAAGAATTTAGTTTAATGTCTCCGCTTGACTCTCGTTCTCACAGCCCTCAGATTTCTGTTTGAAGACCTCAAACTAAAGTGAAAAAGTGAAAGTGACGTGACATGTGGCCAAGTATGGTTACCCATACTCGGAATTAGTGCTCTGCATTTACCCATCCAAAGTGCACACACACAACAGAACACACACACACCCCGAGCACACACACCCAGCACAGTCATTCTTATAAAACGGATAGTTCCGGTTCTTGATTCTGATTGGTTGAGCTGCGTTCGACCCTGTTGTAAATTACACTACAAATATACACCTTTGTTTACTTCTGTGTGTTGCTCGGCAACTACTTTGTTGGAACCACAATGGTTTCTGAGGAACTACATTGTTTGGTGGAAGAATGCTGTTTTTATTTATATCATTACACTTTATTTGCTCTGTTTTATTCTGTGAAACCTTACTACGTATATGGAATAACCATGTATATATGGAAATAGTGGTTATGGAATAACCACATTTAAAATAATGCAATAAGCTCCAAGAAGCCGTGGTTTAGTGAATTTATAACATCTTATAAAGCTTATTGCTTCATTTTAAACGTATTTTTGTAGTTGAACAATTACAAATGCAGTTTTTGTTACATTATTGGGGGTTTACATGGAATATTTGTTTTTAAAAATTAACTTTTAAAAGATCATTTGTTGCACTGCATATGAAGTTCAAAAATCTAAATAGGTTTAAAAATATCAAAAAGTTCTTAAATAGTTTAAATAGCCTCATATCGTACGCACAGGTGCAGCAACGTCATTGCTTCTAAATATTTTCATGGAACCTGATTGGCCTAAAATAATAGAAATCAGGTGTATGTGGTTTGGGTGAGTGATTAGGCAGTTAATGCTAGAATAAGAAGCGTTTTTCATTATTCCGTGATAAAACGGCGACCTACGGGTTTTTGTATGTGCATGCTCGATAAGCTGGTTTTATTTTGATATATATTATTTATTATAATTATTTCTGATATAATTATTTAGCTGACGAGATGTGGCTGAGTAGCACGTTAACATGGTGTATCGTTGTCTTTCTTATGACGCCCCTGCTCACTGAATGTTATCCTCGCATGTCTCCTCGTACATTCCAGCAAGGAGGGCCTTTGGCAAGCCAGCAGCTGTTGAGCAGTCAATATCAGGCCGCGATTCCGCAAATTCCGCCTAAAATAAACGACCCCGTTCCACAACGGCGTCAGAAAACAGTGTCCGTGTACTGCCATGAAGATGCGATAGAGGTTGTGATGAACGTAGACCTGTTTGCGTCGGGCTTTCCAGTCTATGCTGAGGAGCTGTGGCTGGGTTCCCCATCACTGCTGGACAAAGTGTCTGCAGCATCATGTGGAGCCCTGCAAACCGGACCATCACAGTTGACCATATTTGCTTATTTCAGAGATTGTGGAACCGAACTACATGTAAGTTCACAAACCATCGGAAGACGTTTTACATATGGGTATTCTGCTGAAAAATACCTTGTCTTAACTGGCCACAAACCTGCTTTCTGGTGGTCTTCTATGAGTTTTGCTTCTTGTCACTTAAGTCTGACTGGAAGACTAGTAGGCGACCAGCTTGGCAGGCCTCAAAGAACAGGGAACCGCTGTTAGGTGATACTTGTAAACTATTGGTAAATAGTTCACAAACGCATGTGGTGTTTAATTTGTCTTTTCAGGTAACTGGAGACTCTCTAGTATATTCAAATGTCATTGTGTACTCCCCTCTACCGTCTCCTGATGGTGTACTTCGCCAGGAAGGTGCAGTCATACCTGTTCAGTGCCAATACCGGAGGTGTGCTGACAAACCTCAGATTTCTTAATTTTAGATTTATTTTAGCTTTAACTTTTTTTGTTTTACATGCTCTTAAGGCGGTACGGTGTTGACAGTGCGGCAGTGGCACCCACTTGGATCCCATTTGTTTCCACTGTTTCTGCCACAGATTATCTGGAGTTTAGCCTCCGACTGATGAATGGTATAGTATTTTAAAGTCACCACATTCTGCTTCAGAATTATTTAACTTTTATTTATTTATATATATTTTTTTTAATTTATTTTTTTTAAGATGATTGGCAGTATGAGAGGGGCTCGAATGTCTATTTCCTTGGGGATGCGATACACCTTCAAGCATCGGTTACCTTGGCCAATCACTTCCCCCTCCTCCTGTTTATTGACTGGTGTGTGGCTACACCAACATATGGCGTGGTTCCTAGTGACATCAAATATTCTTTTGTGGATTATCATGGGTGAGTTTTGTCAGTTCGTCAGATTTTAATTGATTACCGCATCTATTAGATTTAAACTCTGGTCCTGAAATTACCAATTTGGTGCTAAATGACACTGGTCGTGTAGTTAAACTAATAAGTGTATCCAAAGGGATGTAGAAAATGGTATGCAAGAACTGTTTACTTGTCTTGGCACTGAGAAACACTCCACCGGTTTCTTTGTACACTTGAATTCAGCATTTTGAACTTCTGGAAAGGAAGCTCTAATCATGTAGACCGCTTTCAGATGTCTTGTAGACAGTAGGAGTTCGTACTCCCGCTCCAAGTTCTTGCCGAGGAGCCAAGGCAACAAATTAAACCTGCAACTGGATGCCTTCAGATTCTACAAATTGACCAGCAACTTGGTGAGCAGAAATTAAGATTAATTGAAAGGATTGTTCACCCAAGAATGAAGATTGTCCGAGACCGAAAGATACTACGTGACTTGTGTACAGAATTTTGCCACTTGGAGCGACAGATTTCATAGAAAATCGCGTATGGCATGATAGACACTGACTTTTTTTTTTATTTTATGTGTGTATATATATCAGAACCCTCTTTAAAATCCCATTGTGTTGTGTAGTCATATAGGTTTGGAACAACATGAGGATGAGTAAATGACTATTTTTGGTTGACTACTATTTGTCTGCGTAATCTAATTCTGCAATACCTCCTGGTTTTATTTGAAACAGGTGTTCATCACATGTTACCTAAAAGCGGTCCCTGCTGCCTATCCTGTGAGCTCTCAGAATCGAGCATGTTCTTCTATTGATGGAAGGTAATGACTGGCTTGTATCAAGTCTTTGTATCAACCAGTTGCTCTTTATGTAAGATCCCTGTGGATGTTGCAGGTGGCAGTCTGTGGATGGAAGTGATGAGGTTTGTAACACCTGTGAGCCATCCAGACAAGCTGCGGCAGAGCCTGAACCAATCCAGCCTTTCCGCATCACGCCAGCCACTCCCGTCAAGCAGCCTTATTTGGCCCCAAAACCAAGCTCTGCTGATTTCTATCATGTGAGACCTGGTCAGTCATTGGAACCCTTTAAAGCTCTCTTTCGTTCAAGGCAATATGCCAGTGGTGTGTCGAAGAGACAAACGGACTCGAACAAAGGTTTCCACTTTTGTTTTTTTTTTGTTTCATTCAACTGTTTTTATTTATTCAAGTTATGTGGCACTTAAACACCCTTCTTTTTTTTTTATTTTTTATAACAGACTGGAGCAAGATTGCCACATTAGGTCCTTTGTTTCTGATCCCAAAGCAAGAAACCACCACCCAATCAACTGGGTACCTGCAGTCCGGCCCAGCTGAGGTCTTATCATCCGTCACTGAGGAGCTGGAGCTCTTATTCAACTCGACTGAGACAAGTCCTGTGACAGATGAGCTGGAGTTTAAAACCGATCAAGAGACTGAAAGCTTTAGTCCATTAGAGAAGGCCCTGTTCTTTAATGCTTCTGATCTTTTCAGTTCAGAAGAGGGGAGTGGGTTTGAACCGTGACCTTCCGCATAAGAAAAATGAGCCCAAGAAAAAATGGAAACGGACAACCTTTTCTAAAGTTTTAGAACATCTCATCTTGGTCCTTGCCATTACTGCAGATGCTGTGGTCACAGAAATAGTATGTTCATGCATTAAAATTCATACATCTCAATTGTTGGAACTTTGTTTGATTTAAAGAAATAAATTGCACGTTCATTATCTATATCTCTCTATATATAAATATCATTTCCCAACATGTATTAATAAATGTGACCCTGGACCACAAAACCAGTCTTAAATTGCACTGGTATATTTCTAGCAATAGCCAAAAACATGGGTCAAAATTTATAGGTTTCTTTTATGCCAAAAATCATTAGGATATTAAGTAAAGGTCATGTTCCTTTTTTTTATTTTTTATTTCCTACCGTAAATATATCAACTTCAGTTTTGATTGGTAATATGCATTAAGGACTTTGTGGACAACTTTAAATGTGATTTTCTCGATTTAGTTTTTTTTTTTTTTTTGCTCCCTCAGATTCCAGATTTTCAAATCGCATTTCAGCCAAATACAGTCCTATTCTAACAAGCATCAATGGAAAGTCTTATTTGTTCAGCTTTCAGATGTATAAATCTCAATTTTGAAAACTTGACAGGATTTTTTTTTGTGGTCCAGGGTCACATATTCATGAATTATAATTTAAAGTAACATTTGGCACCTTTTATGGTATCTTTTATCAATTTCTCATTTAGTTCACATGATTTACATAACCTTTTAAAAGTCTGGTTATCAAATATGTGTTTTATAACAAATGTAAGTAAAAATTGTACATTAAATAAAAATGCATAAGTTCTTTACGTACTTTATAGCATATGTTAATACATTTAATAATTCAAGGTAATATTTAGACCCTTTTATGGTTCCTTATACCTCAACTTCCCATTCAGTTCACATGATTCTGAACAACTAGTATGAGCTCATTTGTTAACATAACTTTTTGTAAGTGTGGTTAACAGGTTCTGCTGTTTGTATGGGCATTTATTTCATTACAGACATTTAAGATTTTTATCTTTCTAAACAGTCTTGGTTACTATATTAATGAATTTAAGAATAATTCATTTATAACCCAAGTATAACGATCGGTATCTTTCAGTAGCCTGCTTCATTTTTCATTCAGTTCACATGTTATGAACTATCCAAATTTAGTAGCATTGTGTACATAACCTTTCATAAAAAGTGGTTAATAAGTTACCATGTGGACTATTTCTTCATTGACATACCCGATTTTGATCTTATATACTTCACAGTCTCTTTGATGTTATTGTCCTCAGGTGTCATTTTCACCAGGTGTGCCATTCGTCTGAAGCCGTCCACCA